TCATGTACTTATGCCATTGAGATGTTCCATGGTTGGTGTATGCGACCAACAGAATATGGGGATATGATGATTTGTCTTGTTTGAGATCAGGTTATAAAAGACATTGTTGCTTCTGTCTTGGTCTTTCTCTCTCTTCTTCGATTACTCATTCTGGGAGAAGCCAGTTGTCATAAGCTCTACAGAAAGGCCCATGTGATGATATGCCCACGTGATGAGGCCTCTGCCAATATCCAGCGAGGAAGTTAGGCCTCCTGCCATATGCGGTCTCTGACTATCCCATGAGTCAGCTTGGAACCAGATCCTATAGCTGCAGTCCAGCCTTCAGATAACCACAGCCATTGCCTACTTTGACTGCAACCTCATGAGAAAAGCTGGGTCCAGGACCACCAAAAGCTAAGATGTTCTCAGATTCCTGACCACCAAAAACTGTGTGAATTAAGAAATGTTTGTTGTTACAAACTGCTTTTTGGGGTAATTTACTACTCAGCAATAGATATCTAACACTCCCCACTTATGACATTTTAAAAATTTACCCATTTACTTGTCTACTTTCCCTACTAGTCCATAATTTTCTTTCAGGTGGAGATTAAGTATAGCTTACATTTTTTTCTATTCCAAAGTGCTATACCCAGTACATGTATATGCTCAATATCTATTTAAATCCAAAGAAACAATACAGGTTATATTAAAAAGTTTGTAAGAGCACATAAAAGAAAGTGCTCGGAGATTCAGAGTATATTCTCCAGGGGAGAAACTGCTTTAAGTTAAGTTTTGAAGAGTAATTTGAAGTTTGCTAAATATTTTGAGGAGCAGGAAGGAATGATTACAATTAAGAAGGAAAAATCATGTATGAAGGCACAAAACAGTGAAAGAATGTGACATTCTCAAGGATCCAAAAGCAGCTAAGTTTATTTGAAGGTGCAGAGGTGGGAGATGAAGCTGGAAAAACTGGCAAAGGCAGACTATCAATGTATCCCATTAACTTAACAACTATTTAACAATTCCCTACTATGTGCCAGGCACCATTCTAGGTGGAGATAGAGCAGTGAGCAAAACAAAGTCATTGTTCCTATGCTATGAAATATTAAGTTTATTCTAAATGAAATCAGGACAGTCAAGGCAGAAAAGTGCCATGAGAATGAGTAATAATGCTGCAAACAAAACAAGGAATCAAGCGTAAAGAGGAAAGGCTAGGAGATGGGCAATCCCATTGGAGGAGGAGATTTCAATAAATGAGGGAGACGAAGAACTTGAAACAAGGGAGCAAGTATGGAAAAGTGGAGACCTAAGGAATATTTCAGGGGTAAAAAAACCAAAATAACTACATTATTAAAACTCGGTTATTTCTAGTACTTTTAGGGTGTGACATAGTAGCTGCTATAAGCCTAGGTTCTGAAGTCAGACACATTTGGATTCAAAATCTACCTTGACCAGTTTCCAGTTGTATATAATGGGGCAAATTACTTAAATTTTCTGAGTCTTGGTTTTCTTCTTCACTGGGCTATTGTGAAGATAAAAATAAATCATGTATACAAGTCCTTTAGCAAAACATTTGACTACAGAAAGTGCTGAATAAGCAGCAGTTAGTGTTATCTTGCTAAGTCTTTGCTCACGCAGTTCCTTCAGCCTAGAGGACCTCACTTCTTTTTTGCCCTATATGTGCTTTGGGAAATTGAGCATTTTATGTTCAATTCAGATGTCACCTGCTGTAAGTAAGTCTCTTTATTTGATCTTGTTGTAATTCATACATAATGGACATTAAAATATTTTTCACATTTTCTTATATATCTCTCTCCTCCCATACCTACTTGACTACATTTTAAACTTTTTGAGAGAAAGTTCATGTCTTATATCATTTCCACTTACTACTCAACAA